TATCTACGCAGTCCTAACTGGCCTATTGGGCCAAGTAAAGTTTTGGATAAAATAACTTGTAACCAACCCTACTTAAGGGTGTAACATGGTTAATATAATAACATATGACTCCGGCTTCAAGGACAGCTGCACATGTGAATCAAGAGGAAAACTCAAGACTGAGTCATGCCTGAGCTCCTCTGCTCCCCTACTTTGCATCAGCTCAGCACTTTTGGAGGCAGTTTTTGCAGCATTTTCTGAGGGCCAAAGAGTGCTTTGGGAAACAGTCTGCAGTCCCTCTGCACTGCTTTTTGTCTTGCAGACTTCACACCTTTCTTCCTATTTTACACGCATGCTGCAAGTTGTACTTCAGCAGCCTTTATTTGTGAGATTATTTGCTTGGAGTTAGATGTGTGTCCAATATGAGCAGTGCTGTACATGTTCGTGCTGAGAACAGACAGCCTGTGTCCTACTTTCCTCTGCATTTCCCAGCAACACTTACATGACTTTTGAACCTCTTTCTGAATTAATTTTGTATGGCTGTATTCTGCCTGTCATCCTGCTTGTGCACTCCCTCCCTGACACCCTTAGCCCATAACTACTTGTACTATGGGAAATGACTCTCCTGTCTGATCTCTCATCCCAACATAATGCCATTTTGGCCTGATTTGGCACTGCTGGTGAGGAGGTCTGTCAGACTGCAACTCTAGTGTCCTTATGGAGAAGGGTCACCTGGAGAGTTTATCCAAGGAGGGCAAGAGGGATATGGTGTGGGAGGCAGGACTGGCTCTCCGAGAGCACAGAGGATAGGACCAGGGCACCTGTAACTGCAGGAACAGCTCTGAGTGCTCACAGGTTGGAAGCGAGGAGCATCACTAGCGATTAACTAGCTGTGGATTCTACCCTCACCTTTTCTTTTCAGACCCAATCTATTTTTTTCATCTTGCCACTCACTGTGCTGTGCCCTGTTGTCCCTGGTTTAGCTGATCTTTCCTCTGTGCTCCCTGCTGCATGCTGACCAAACACAACCTGTTTCAGACCCTCTGTAACAGGGCTGCTGCTGTCAAAATAAGATGCAGATACCTTACATGAAAACTCATTGTTAGAGCAAGTTAGGTAAGCCTGAAAGGAAAGCTCAGAAATTATGTTTTATTCCACCTTAACAGTGCACCAGAGATATGAGACTTTATATGGTTTGACTTCCAGACACCCAGAGTGGAGCCATCTACTAGCAGGAAGCACTTCTCCTTTTTGAATCAATAACACCGGGGGTAGATGAGACATATTTTCCCAAAGGGCTTTGTAGTTATATGCTGTTCTGCAGATTAACACTGAGAATAAATCAAGCTCGCTTCTGGGTTTTCAGAGATGGAAGTGGTTACAGAAAGAACAGCCAAATATTTGGTAGCCACCTTCATGCTCAGCATGTCATATGCTGTCCTCATCTGCCTGTCCCCTAATCATTTCCCTTCTCCAGATTCTTCTGCCCCCCTGAAATCCTGCCATCCTGCCCTGTTCCTACCTTGTTGTACTCCTACCTGCTCTATCCCTTATCTGGTCACCTCTGCCCCATCCCATCCAGTCTGTACCCCTGAGTTGCTCTGCAGCTCAGTTTTGAGCCGTTTTCTCTTTCTTCTCCCCTCCAGTGTAAAGTAAGGCTGAATTCCGGTGCAGGTGACATGAGGGAGGTGGCTCTCTACTCTCTGCCTGTGTTTGAGACTGAGTTTATTTGGCCCTGGGCAGAAGCATGCTCTGCCCTCAACAAGTCTGCAGTAAAGACAACATCTGGATTTCAGACAAACACTGCTGAGCATGTGCAGGCAGAGCACAGTGATTTACAGCTAGGCCAGAACTGGTTGGTTTCTCATATGGCCAGCAAGTACAAGCTGCTGCCCCCAAGGATCAGCCCCTGCTAATTTCAGTCCCCTGCATGAGCACTGAACTGCCTATGCTCTGCAGTGAAATCACTGCAAGACATTTTCAGCATAGGCCAATCACCATTTTTCCCTAACCTCATTCTTGGAAGTTGCTGACCAGCTTTCAGTGAAGTGTTCCCAAAAAAATTCAGCCCAAATTAAAAGCAACCAAAAACTGGATCTTATAATCAAAAGCGTTAGGCGACTCTAAATACAACATTTGTTGCCATCTCCACCTCTAATAGAAGGGTGGCTATTTAAATATTTAATTTTGAGAGAGCTTCCTCGATTTGACTGACATGCACGCAAAAAGAGTTTTCCTTCCAAACATGGGGCACATGCCCAAGAAATACATCTGATAAGGAAAACCAGTGGTGACTGTATGCAAACTGTTATGTGATCTGGTTTATGTTACTTAGAGTTATTTTTCTCCTCTATCCTTCCCCAGATCCTTCACTAAAGTGTTGTAAAGTCCCGAGCTGACCCCACCACTAGTGGATGTGTCAGGGAGATAGATGTCAGCTTGAGCCATGGCAATTTGCCATCTGTGAAAAGCAAACAAATATCACCAACCAGAGTAATGAGCATCGTGATTGTAGCAGGAATTTGAGCACAGATTTACATGGGATCTCTGTGTTTGGGCTCACAAGCCTTTGATTCTGTTACTATTAAAAGTAAGCAGCTGCAAAACTCCAGCTGTGCAGGTCTGTGGAAAAAAACAAGCATTGGCCGTTGACTGCTTGACGTTCTACCTGCAAGGCTGGACCAGATGTGTGACTATTTTGTATATTATGTTCTTTGCTTCTCTGAAGAAGGAAGCAAGGAAGGCTTCCAGTAAAATTTGTAGAGAGTCTTTTAAAGTCTTTTATTGCATTTCAGTGAATAGGCTCCAGAACTTTAAAACTTCTCCACTTTTTTTTTTTTTTTTTTTTTTTTTTTTTTTCCCAATTATATGGAAAGTGCTCTCATAATAGATATTATCTCTGTGGCAAACTTTGATTTCCTTAGAACTTTAGAGCTTCCCAGCTAAATCAGAAGCATCACAGAAAATGCTACTTAAGGGACAAGGAGTCTTTGCTATTTTGAACTGAGTCCATTGTTGAAAGAAATAAATATGTCCAGATGTACCATCTCCTAAAAGTCACAGTACAAAAGTAGAGATTCAGAACCAAAGTACAATGGCTGCAAACAATCTTTAATTCATGCAAAGTTACGATAACCAAGAGACTATAAACTTTATGGTTTGGTAAATTGGCTGCAATCTGCATCCCTAGAGGAGAGGGGAACTGAGATCAGCATGGTGACGAATATGACTGAGGGCCCCACAGATCACTTGTAGTCTGAAATGAAAATCAGGCCAGACCAGATGTAGCTACATTTATTGCTGCACCGTGGATCAGAAAATGTTAAGAAGAAAACAAAGACAACGAGGATTTCCAAGCATAAAACAAAGATATTTCCAAGCATATTAGCTGTGAGTCTCATGAAATGATTCTATCAGTCTTGAGGCCGCAGTGCCTGGCAGGCTGTAAAGTACTGATGGTCTCTTTTTGTTTTTAACAGCATGGCTTGATATATATATGACCCAAGGCTGACATCTAGTGGAAAGAAGAGGTCACAGGACTTTTCTTCTTCCCGGGCGTGTATTTTTCAGTGTGTTGGAACTACAGATGGTGTTTTGCTCTATTTTTTTTTTTTTTTTCCTTCTTCTTTTTTCCAGAGATCATGCTGAATGTCACACTAAGTGGATTTCTAAGTGGATTTTCCTGGGCAGGAAAGCAAAACGAGATGCTCATTGGCACTCAAAACGAGATGCTCATTGGCACTCAGGCTAAGTGTGAATCTTTTCTCAATTGTAATAAGTCTATCGGTAGCTGAAGGCCAAAAGCTTCACAGTGCTGTCCAAAGCTCCAAAGGCAGGATTTTAAAAATGGCTTTAAAAGACAATGGTCTGGATGATCATGCCTAGTAGAGTTTGGGTAGAGCACCCGGAATACATCTCATAGCAGAATAAATGTTCACTTCAGCTGCAGAAAATGGTGCCGTGATGTTGGATTTAGATCTGCAATTCTAAATCACAGCAGCCCCTTGGAGAGCAGCCCCTGAGGCTGCAGTGCTGCTCAGCCCGCAGTTCTCCCCATCCTTTGGTTTACTCACTGCCTCTGCTGTGCTGTTTGGGCTGGGAGGATAAGGCTGGTAGGACTTAAGGAATGTTTGCACAATACTCTGCTTCAGTTTCTGCACCTGGTATCACATGCTAATGGAGGAAAAAAGCACCTCAGTTTTCAGATAGTAAAAATATAAGTTTCAAGTTCTCATGCTTTTGTGGAAGAATTGAAAACACGAACCCAAAACACTAAAAAACAATGAAGGACAAATAAAACTGTCCAATGTTTACTTTTCATATCTCGCAAATTTAAGTCAATATCATAAATCTGCTGGCACCTCAGAGCTGGTTTGTAATGCTCAGCAACAGAGGGGAAGGGAAGCACAGAGAAGGCTCACCAGTTCTCAGGCATAGGAAGAGAGAGGACAAACAGAACTCCTGGAGGTGGCTGGGGGCATAAAGCCCAGGGGGACTGCAAGTGGGTCATGAGAGTGTAAAAATGGTAGAAGGCTGGCTGCTTTCCTTATTCCCTGTTGATTGAAGGGGAGTTGGACTAGATGATCTTTACAGATCAACTCAAATTATTCTATGATTTTGTATTGTAGGAAGTGAAAAATATCTCCTCCACGTATTGGGGTAAAGATTCAAGGCTCTATAGCAGCAAGCTGTAACCATTGGCCCTGTCCATGGATCATCTTCTTGAGTGATGTTTGTAGCATATATAGGAGCAAATTACCTGCAGACTTTTGTTGGTCATGAGCAGGTAAACGCAATAAATCTATGCAGAAATACTGTTTCATCCCTAGGGGAATGCACAGCCCTCAGCCACTGCTGAAGAGCACAGCTCCAGCTCTGCTTCCCAGACAATTGCTAAGTAGACAAGGTGAAGCCCTTTTTTTTTTTTTTTTTTTTTTTTTTGGAATGATCTGACAACAAAACATTGGTGTTATACAAACAGTACAAAGTTTATTGCAGGGTTGAGCTTTAATCTCTTGTGGTTGCTTATTGACAACAGAAAAATTAGAAGCTCAGTGAAAAGGCCTTCTCAACATCCTGTTTGTAAGCTGCCTTGAAACAGAGGATCTCACTGCTCCTCTCTCTAAAACCCAACGTAAGTCTTAAATGAGAGACAGCAAGGATTGGGTCTGGGTTGCTTAAAGTTCCCATTTATTCTGCTTGATTTATCTTTTGTGCTTCCTGATTTTGGCCTTCCTAAGCACAGGAAGAGAAAAAATCATGATGTGTGATTTGTGGTATATCAAGATATATGGTACATGAAATCTAGTGCTGTCAGCTGTGGTTGAATGTCGTGAAGACTTATGGAGACAGCTTGAGAGACTTTCACCACCTGACACCAGATACCTGCCAGGAGAGACGAAACAACACTGAAGAAATCAGTCAGGCTTCTTTTTCCAGGGATTCCCTCATTTTTCACTTTTTGCTAGCAGAGAATTATGCCCTAATTTTCAAGTTACACACTGGTATCTCGGTCAGTGAGATACTATATAGTGAGATGACTATACCTGTGTCAGGAGCACACAACCTCAGAATCATGGGATGGGTTTTGGTGAAGCTTGCAGACCTGATAATCTGCTGTGGGAGGCTAATCTGGAAACTAGGATATTTACTTTTTCCTGCACGTTTGTAGAGAAATCAGATCAGAACCACAGGTGTTTTAAAACTTCATGCTTTTGTATACCTTGAATAATACCTATTTAATCAGAGCCATGGAAGTAACTTAAACAATACAGAAGATTGATTTTGTCTTATGCTCTTTATATGTTTCCTTGTATATGGGTACAGTTGGCTAAAACATTAATTTGCATAGTTTTTAGACCTGGCTACATCACAAGTATGTAAGTGCAGGCATTTAATAGTCAGCACTTCTGCTATTTTGCTGAGACATCTGGGCCTCACAGAGTCTCTTCTTTTCCCTGAAAGATCAAGTGCAATACTTAGAATTATTTTTCTTGTTGTGGAATTTGGTTTTTGTGAGTGCTAAGATTGTCTGAATTTTGTATGCTCCCTTTCTAGTGTGTATCTGTGCTCTAGTATGCAATGCCACCCAGAATGTATTTGTTACAAAAGAGAACCAAAGATCTGTAGAAAATACTTCGTGTTTGATCTTGACAGTGAGTCTGGCCATAGTTTTGCAATGTGTTCATGCTGGAGCAGGATAGATGTAGACTCTGCATTTACATGCTTCTGAATTTTATGGGCTTGCACTTAGTCACTGCTCTCCGTAACTAAATTGATTGGTCAGGCAGCCATCCTGAGGGAATCCAGCAAATGATGTTATGGGACTGCCTTTGAGGAGAATTATTGGAAAAAATAATCCAGATAATTTTAAGATAGAATTTATGACAAAATTAGATAACTGTTGTGTCTTAAAATAGCAAGGGACTTCAAGTGTCCTCTTTTAGGCTTGTGTACATTAAGACAGAATAAGGAGAGGCATAAAGATGCAAGCTTCTTCCTACCCTTGTGTCTGCATCTACCAGCTTTCTCTATAGTAGGGCAGAAGACAGATAGCAAGATTTGCCTGCAATTAGATAAAATAGTTATTTGTACTGGGTAATCATAGCCTGAATAAGGGATAACTGGAGTTGGAAAGAAATTCTGATTCAAGAGGAATCTCAACAGGCTAAGGACCGGAGTCTACTCTTAGCTCCTGTAATTTTGTGGAGCTTCTTGAGGTCATCACACTTGCAAGATTAAGACTTTACATTTTAGGAAATGCCCAAATAAGTATCAGCCATGTAAATGATTGTATGTGGGAGACAGAACGTACCACAGACCAAGTTCAGCAAGCAGATGTATCTTGATGACTCAGATGTATCTTTTAAAATCACTTTGTGAGGGAGGTTGGATTAGCTGACTTAAGTCCCTTATTTTTGCTAACTCTGCCACAATTCTGTGACAACTAAGCAGGCATTTATGTCATTTTGGGCTTATTTTTCAAAAAAGATCAGAGCAAACTCAGCATGTTGCCTTGGGGCTCTAAACTTGCATAAGAGCAATCTCGTCAGTATTTTGGGACACAATTACAGGATATTTAGGATCTTATGTGAATAAATTAAATGTGTTCAGGGCCAGTGCCAAGTGAAGCAGTACTACTTCAAGATAATCCTGATCATGAGAGCTGCCTCAGTCATGTTCTTTATTCCCAATAGGAATATTTCCTATAAGGGCAACAGGAAATTTATAAGTCAGTCAAATATATTGCAGACCAGCATGTGGTGTGTGATGTCTGTCCCTTGCCGGTTATGTATTTGGCACAGAAGACCAAATAGAAGGGAAGAAGCTACAAGATAGAGGGGACCAAGGTTTTCATTAAATGACACTGGTGTTTCTGGAAGAGAGAATAACAGTTCAAGAATCTAATTTCCATGTTATTCTTTTCTCCAGGGTTTCCAGAGCATCTCTGTGCAATGGCTATGGTGTCTCTGTTGGACTTTGAAGCTTATGCAGAAAAATATTTACCTAAGATTGCTTGGGATTTCTTTGCATCAGGAGCGGATGAGAATAGCACCCGAGATGAAAACATCCTGGCATATAAAAGGTAACGTGGGGAAGAAGTGGAGGTGTTGTGCTGGAAGCTTTTAAACTATGTTTGTGTACAAGTGTTTGCATTTCATACACAACGATTCCTAACACCTTGCTTGCCCTTATCTGAATAATATATGCTGTGTGCTATGGTGCTACCCTCCATAAGGCTCAAATTGCATAAGACACAAGGGATGCTGAGGATGCAGGCAAATGGTGTGGTGTGTTTGGTACGGTATGACAGGAAAGGGAATGTGTGGCTACAACAGAACGTGATGCAGTGTGTAGCATGTGGCCAGTTGCAGGAAGCCTGCAACTAGTGAGAGATTTGGAAAATATGCTGTGGACACTGAGGTCAGGTACAATGTACAGTGAGAACAGGCATGATTGCTAAGTGAAAGACAGAGACCTGGGACTTGGCTGCAAGTAGAAATAATCTGTGGGATGGACAATAGGAGAACAAGGAAGGTAAACCGGGGCAGTCTGAAGTGGGAGTGTAAAAATGAAGTACTGTGACCAGTGGGCAAGAGTATGGGATTAATGACAGCTGGTAGTGGCAGAACTGATAGCTGAATTGGCAAGAAAAAGGATGAAGGGCCTTTTTCTATGCTCATTTCTTTATTAGCTCTGATTGCTGCATTTCAATGGGTAAAAGTAGACCTGGTTTCCACAGAGCTTGAAAAGCAGAGAAGCCACCAGGCAACTACCATCCTGAAGGGTGCTTTATTTCTGTTGCCTTGCAGGATTCGTTTTCGGCCACGTATGCTGCGAGATGTGTCTATACTGGACACTAGGACGAAAATCCTGGGGACGGAAATCAGCTTTCCTGTAGGAATCGCCCCGACTGGCTTCCACCAACTAGCATGGCCTGATGGAGAGAAAAGCACAGCCAGAGGTACTCTTTTGCTTTGCTATCATGTAGCAAATGTGATTTGTGAAATAAAATAAAATAAAATAAAATAAAATAAAATAAAATAAAATAAAATAAAA